CATTCCCCCTCCTTCCACAGCAGGGTGCTGTCCCCCAGCCTCCATTCCCCCTCCTTCCACAGCAGGGTGCTGTCCCCCAGCCTCCATTCCCCCTCCTTCCACAGCAGGGTGCTGTCCCCCCGCCTCCATTCCCCCTCCTTCCACAGCAGGGTGCTGTCCTCCAGCCTCCATTCCCCCTCCTTCCACAGCAGGGTGCTGTCCCCCCGCCTCCATTCCCCCTCCTTCCACAGCAGGGTGCTGTCCCTCAGCCTCCATTCCCCCTCCTTCCACAGCAGGGTGCTGTCCCCCCACCTCCATTCCCCCTCCTTCCACAGCAGGGTGCTGTCCCCCAGCCTCCATTCCCCCTCCTTCCACAGCAGGGTGCTGTCCCTCAGCCTCCATTCCCCCTCCTTCCACAGCAGGGTGCTGTCCCCCAGCCTCCATTTCCCCCTCCTTCCACAGCAGGGTGCTGTCCCCCCACCTCCATTCCCCTCCTTCCACAGCAGGGTGCTGTCCCCCCACCTCCATTCCCCTCCTTCCACAGCAGGGTGCTGTCCCTCCACCTCCATTCCCCCTCCTTCCACAGCAGGGTGCTGTCCCCCAGCCTCCATTCCCCCTCCTTCCACAGCAGGGTGCTGTCCCCCCGCCTCCATTCCCCCTCCTTCCACAGCAGGGTGCTGTCCCCCAGCCTCCATTCCCCCTCCTTCCACAGCAGGGTGCTGTCCCCCCGCCTCCATTCCTCCTCCTTCCACAGCAGGGTGCTGTCCCCCCCGCCTCCATTCCCCCTCCTTCCACAGCAGGGTGCTGTCCCCCCACCTCCATTCCCCTCCTTCCACAGCAGGGTGCTGTCCCCCCACCTCCATTCCCCCTCCTTCCACAGCAGGGTGCTGTCCCCCCACCTCCATTCCCCCTCCTTCCACAGCAGGGTGCTGTCCCCCAGCCTCCATTCCCCCTCCTTCCACAGCAGGGTGCTGTCCCCCCGCCTCCATTCCCCCTCCTTCCACAGCAGGGTGCTGTCCCCCCCGCCTCCATTCCCCCTCCTTCCACAGCAGGGTGCTGTCCCCCCCGCCTCCATTCCCCCTCCTTCCACAGCAGGGTGCTGTCCCCCCACCTCCATTCCCCCTCCTTCCACAGCAGGGTGCTGTCCCCCCACCTCCATTCCCCCTCCTTCCACAGCAGGGTGCTGTCCCCCCAGCCTCCATTCCCCCTCCTTCCACAGCAGGGTTTCTCACCCTATCTCAGCACTATCGACATTTCTGGTTGGATCATGCTGTGCGGTGGGGACTGTCCTGTGCATTGCAGGATGGGTGGCGGCATCCCTCATCTCACCACATGTCAGTAGCACCTCCATCCACCAAACCCAAAATGTCTCCCAGCACTGCCAAATGTCCTCAGGTGCAAAAGTGCCCTTGGTTCAGAACCACTGTTTATAGCACAGGAGCTTTGGGTGGGCCCATGGTCACTGGCTGAACATCAGATTTCCCAGCCTGGTTCACAGCCAGACTAACTCCCATGTCTGACGGAGGGACAACAGCGCAGTGCACCTGGTCCAGAGGCCCTCCCCAGCACAGGCTCAGGCTACGCCTTGCTTGACACCACGCCCTCACCTGGCTGTCACCCTTTACCTAGGCTGCTGCACTCCTTTCCCTGCAGGATTTTCTCCTGCTTCTTGTTTCCAGTTGAATTGTGCCCCTCACCCCACAAAGGATGTACTGACATCCTGACCTCCAGCAGCTCAGAATGTGACCTTATTTGGAAAGTCATTGCAGATGTGATTACTTAAGATGAGGTCATAGTGGAGCAGGGTGGGCCCCTAATCCAATATGACTGGTGTCCTTATGGAAAGACACACACACACACACACACACACACACACACACACAGAACACCATGTGACGACAGGCAGAGATCAGACAGATGCAGCTTCCAGCCAAGGCATACGAAGGATGCCAGCAACCGCCAGCAGCCAGAAGGAGGCAGGAAGGATCCCTAGAGGTTTCCCAGGGAGCAGGGCCCTGCCGACACCTGGATCTTCGACTTCCAGCTCCCAGCCTGTGAGACAATACATTTCTGAGTTTTAAGCTAACCAGGCTGTGGTGCTTTGGTCCCGGCAGCCCTGGGAGGTTAATCCACACGCAAATTCCTATCTCAAGCTCTGCTTCAAGGAAGCCCAGCCACAGACAACTGGCCTTTCCACTCAAGAGCATAAATTCCAAGCAAGCTTGAGATGGGAAACAAGAATCCCTTCTTCCCTCATGTGCCTTTCTTCGTTAGAGAAGGAAGAAAGGAATAAGGGAGAAAGGAAGGGACAGAGGGAGGTGAAGGGGTGAGAGAGGGAAAGAGGGAGAGGAGAAAAAAAGAAAATCACTTTGGGGAGTCCTTTCTTCCTGCCATCCTTCAGTCACCCAACAAATATCACTGGGCACTACCACACGCCAGGCACTGTCCGAGGTGCAGGGGACAGAGAAGGGAGCAAAACAGATGACATCTCTACCCTTGTGGCGTTTACCTACGAGCATGGAACACAGACCCTGAAACGTATGGCCTATGGGATGATGCTAAGCGCCACGGAGAAAAATAAAGCAAGGGAAGGGGATGTGGAGTACCGAGGTGGGAGCAGCCGCACGAAGAGGGTGATGCAGCGGACATGGCCTCTGCTGTCAGCTACAGATGCCCCGTAGTCCTGCCTGACGTGGCCTCAGCTCAGGCCAACAGCAGCACCCCTGGCCGCCTTCCCTTCGCTGCCCTAGCCCTTCTGCGAGGTTTGGGGATCCCACCTGGCCAGGTGCAAGGCAGAGTCCACGCTCCAGCAGAATGAAAGTCCACCCCAGCCTGCGGCCAGAAGGGAGACTTGAAGAACCACTAATGACTACTGGCGCTCCCCCCTTCCTGTGTCCTTCTCACCCCTCACTCCTGCCATCGGGGATCACCTCCTTAACGAACCGCCACCCAGGTCCTTGCCTGGCCTCAGCGTTCAGGAGAACCAAAGGAGGGCAGGTGTGCCAGGAGGGCTTTGCTGAAAAGGTGATATTTCAGCCTACAGGAGGCAAGAGGTGGGCGTGCCCAGAGTCTCTGCCTCTCCAGGGCCCTCCCCTGATGTGAACAATGGAGCTTGGCCATAAAGAAATTATTTTGTTGAGGGGGTCCCCCTCTTTCAACAGGAGCCCAGTGATATCAAATATTGAGGAGGATACATGGAAAGCACCCAATAAATCCTGATCACATGACAGAAGGGAGGTTTGGGTTATAGCAGGCACTGCCAACACCTTGCCCACCACCTCCCGGCCATGGCCACTTCAGTGCACACGGGCCCGTGTCTAGCTGCCAGAAATGCACGTCTTTGCTCTTGTGGGTGTCAAAGGTCTCTTTATCCAACAGCATAACTGTTCAGAAACGCCAAGGAATAAAACTCCCCGTTCACCAACAGCCTTCATTCAATGGCTGATAGTAGTTGGTGTATAAAAAATCCCAGCTCCTGCTCTGGCCAGGTGGCTCAGTTGGTTAGAACGTCGTCCCGTACACCAAAAGGTTGCAGGTTCGATTCCCAAAGCACATACCTAAGTTGCAAGTTTGATCCCCGGTCTCTCTCACATGGATGTTTCTCTTTCTCCCTCTCCTTTCCTCTCTCTAAAATCAATAAAACAATGTCTTTTTAAAAAAAAAAAAAAAGACATCTCTTCTTTAAAAAGTGAAAACCCCAGCTCCCTCTCCCCTCAAGTGGAAAGCCCCTTAGGTGTCTGATGCCGGCTCCCAGTTTTCCCAGCAGGTTTCAACCCCAGCAGGTTTCACCCACAGTGCAACCAGCCCCCAAATGCATCCTTCATGTGACTCCCACTTCCCCCTGGTGTTTCCTTCAGTGCCCCATTCCTAACAAATGACTTTCCTTGCCCCTGGGTCTTTTTCTCAGGATTCCAAACTGAGAGATGGACGAATCTCCCGTCTTTGAAGATGTGCACAGACACATACACTCTGACAGTAGGGCAGACCCTCTAGTCCTGTTTAAAATCTGTACCCCAAATGTGGTGCTGGGTCATTGAATCCCTGGCCAGTAGCGTTCAGCTTTGAAGCACCCCGGTGTGTTTGATGCGAAATAATCCCACCTCCATTATACAGGATTGTTGTCTATAGCACAGGGGGGCTAGACCAGCCTCCACTGGTTGGGTCTTTTCTTTCCCATGGGCTCCCACCACATTCTGAATCCACAGTGGGTACACCGTCGTCCTTCAGCCCACAGAATTCCCAAGGGAGGAACTCTAACAGCCACTAGGGACAGAGCCAAGCCCCTGGGTAGCTTCTCAAGCAGCCAATTGCATGTCCCTGAGCTGGAACCTCACAGTTTGCCTGAAAAACATCCATCTATCATCCTGTGCTTCAGCCCTCATTTGATTTTTCCCAAACCAATTTCTGAAAGTCACCAGGATAATCCTTCTCCTTATTAAATAACTCAGCATGATGACCAAAGAACTCCCAGGGGGGGGGTGGTTACATGAATCTACATATGTGATACAATTTCTCAGAAGCACACACACACACAGCAGTGCATGGAAAGAACTGAGTAAGGTCTGTCGTTTGGCTGCCAACACCAATTTCTCAGTGTTGCTAATGTACTCTGGCTGTGTAAGATTTTTCACGGGGGTTGCTGGAGGAAGGGTACACGGGAACTCGCTGTTCTGTGTTTGCAACTTCTTGCAAGTAGAAAATTATTTCAAAATAAAAAGTTCTAAAAAACACAAAACAATTTTTAAAAATAATAAAATGAAAACCCTCACTTAAGCCCTAGCTCAGTGGCTCAGTTGACTAGAGTGTCCCGAACACCAAAAGGTTGTGGGTTCGATTCCCGGTAAGGGCACATACCTAGTTTGTGGGTTCAACTCCCAGTCAATGAGTCTATGGGAGGCAACCAATCAGTGTCTCTCTCTCTCTCATCAATGTTTTTTTTCCCCCAACCAAAATCAATTTTAAAAAACCTAATTGAAAAAAAAACAGCTCCCAGAAGAAGACACTGCAAACACACCCCTTACCTGGGAACTGGGAATCAGCGCCTTCCACCAGTGCCCGCCTTTCACCAGGTCAACCTCGCACAGCGGCACCGACACCTTCCCGATGACACAGTGGCGCGAGAACTTGTCGAAGTCCACCACGGTGAGCAGCAGGGTCCTCCTCTGCGCTTCTAGGAAGGGGATCTCGAAGGTGTAGCGCTCCTCAAACACCGGCTTCTGGGTCTTGCGTTTGACCCCCGTCTGCTTGGAGTTCTTCTGGTCTGGCAGCAGGCAGATCTTGACGTAGGGGTTGGAGTGCGCCATGTCCTGGCGTGAGCCGTCCTGGGAGATGGGCGGTGGCAGGTCCCGGGCCTCGATCACCCTCACCGTCAGGTGGTTGTGCAGCAGGTCATACTGGGTGCTGAAGTGCAGCATGCCCAGCTGGTACTTGGACAAGATCTCCTCGTCCGTCAGAAAGTCCACATCGTCGCTGTTGGAGTCGAGGGAGTACAGCCGGGGCTCGAACTTTCTGAAATAGTCGTCCGGGGTGTAGGTCCTTCTGAGCACCGAGGGTTGGATGGGCTCCTTCTTAGCGCTGAGGACGCCAAACTCGATGGGTTTAATGTCAATGAGCGGGGAGCTGGGTCGTCTGGACTCGAGACCTAAACAGCCGCCAGAAGTAACAATTAACACCACCACCTAGGGGACCAGACCTGGGCCACCTTGTGAGATGGACATTTCCCAGCTTCTCACGTCGTCCACTCTGCTTCATAGCACTCTTCGCCATCTGCTCTCCACACCTGAAAGCCTCTTACTTATTCCCCGAGAGGCAGCTTGGCGGCAGCATCAGCCCCATGACCATAATCACTGCAGCAAAGCACCAGGCACTAAATGCATTGCATGTGTCAGGTCATCTAATCTTCACAAGGTATTAGCTCATGACTATTCCCACCCTACCCCCAGCCATTCTACAGATGAGGAAACTTGAAGTAACTGGCCAAAGTCACATAACTACTAAAAGGAGAAGCCAGGGGTCCTGCCTGGCCTGCTGGCCCCAGAGACTTGACTCTGTTACCCCTTATACTGCCTGCACTTTCCAATCTGACTCGGGGGGCTGGAGCACCTGGGTCAAATTCCAACTAGGCTACTTACTAGTGAACCATGTAACTCACAAGTAATGAGCCATGTGACTCTGGGCACATTTTTCAGACTCTCTGGAACTCAGTTTCCCCATCTGTGAAATGGAGCCAAGAATGGCGCTTACCTCAAAGTACCTATTGCACTTCTTCAAGGGTTCTATTCGGGGAGTCCTTGAGTTCTACTCTCCTCCGGCTCCCCACCCAAATCATGACATTTGGTCAAACACATACGTTATACATCAGAGGGGGAAAACTGAGTGGCCTGTGGTCCAAATTCAACCCATAGATACATTTTATTTGGGTTTACAAGTAAGAAAATGTCATACGAAAACACAGATAGCCGGTTTCTCTTTAGAAAAATCAAGCAATGCTGGGCCCACAATCCCACATGGCTACAGCTCAGTAGCAGCTGCCTTTTTCTTTCTTTTTTATCCTCACCCGAGGACATCTTTGCATTTCTCTTCAGATAGAGCGGGAGGGAGAGAGGGAGGAAGAGAGAAACATCGATGTGAGAGAGACACATCGACTGGTTGCCACCCACATGACCCCAACCAGGGCCGGGGACAAACTGCAACCAAGGTATGTGCCCTTAGCGGGAACCGAACCTGGGTCTCTCTGGTCTGTGGGCTGACACTCTAACAGCTGAGCCAAACCGGCCAGGGTGCAGCTGCCCTTTTCAATGGGGCATTAGCTTTTCAATTGGCCACAGTCCCCACCCTGCCCTACTACCTCTCCAGGCTAAGAGTCAGCTGCCATTTGTCACTGCATTAGGGTAATATTTCTCTCTATCCAACCCTCTGTACTCAGTTACTGACACAACCCACCTGGACCCTGCTGTACAACACGGTAACACTCCTTTTGGAGTCTGAAATGGTTAATGCTGACAATGTCGATCAATTGAGCCAATTCAATGAAAAGTGATCAGTAAAAACAAAAATCAGTCAAAATGATCATTCTGACTGAACTCAGCAGAAACCAGGTGCAATGCACTTCTGTCACATTGTCATTATCCCTCTGTCATCCTGTCTCCTGACTATCACCCCATTCTGCCCCCTCCCCAGGGACAACCTTGTCCTTCACACCTTTCCTGAAGGGCACTGCTGAGTGTCCGGGAAAGCCAGCTCTCTTCTGTCCTGGGACCCAGCGAATGGGATTTTAGCTCAGGGACTCTGAAAGGAGGCTCAGCACAAGCTGGCTGGAGCCGGGACCTCTGCCGCAGCAGAAATGCTTACTTGAAATCCTCCGGGTCAGGCTGTACGTAGACTTAGATGTGTCTGAGGATGAACATCTTCGATCTGGGGAGTTGGTACGTGGGGTCAGCGGGACATCACTGGCTGTGTGGACAGAGTCCCCGTCCTTGTCACTGCTCCTGCTGGCCATCCTGTGGGAGGGAAGAGGTCTCGATGGTTGTCAAAGAATCCCCAGGGACTAGCATCTCTGTCCCTTGGAGAACAGACCCATGAGGAAATAGCTCTCAGGCCCAGTTTATGTAACTTAAAATAATGCAAATTTGAAATAGTGTGGGAGCCCTAAGCTCCCAATAATGTCTTGCTTTTTGCACAAAGTGTGAAATGATGTGAATGAATTATTTCCCAATTTAGAACAATCAGCCAAAGCTGGGGCTGGAGGGAGGAATGTGGAAACTTAGTGAGGATATGTCCTCAGGAGTCCGGGGGACACCACTTCGACCGGTCAAGAGCAGACCTGTCCATCTGCAGCCTGGAAGGAACCATGTGGCGTCCTAACTTCTGCAAGTGGCTCTTGGTGAGAAATGCCCTGCTATTTCCATAGTCACTGTGTCTATCATTTAACGTCTTTTAAAAATATCCTATAACAATGTCACTCGAGGGTTCCTTGAGTGGCAGGGTATAGCTACAAAATGGCCCTGAGAATCCCTGATTGAAGAACAATAGTTTGATGTAAAGAAACAGCGATGAGTTAGCAGCAGGCATGATTCAGTGTGCTCCCAATGAAAAAACGAAAAGCCCTGGGAAGGAGGGTGGGGAGATACAGAGTAGCAATTAAAGAGCACAACCTCTGGGTTTCTACCCTGGCTGGGTGATCTTGGGCAAGTTCCTTCCTCTCTCGGTGCCTCCATTTCCCCATCTGTAAAATGGGAATAATAGTGTCCACCTTGCATGGTTGCTGCGAACACTAAATGAGTTCACACATATAAATTGCTTAGAATGGTGCTAGGTATGTAGTAGGTAGGTGCTCAACACATTTCAGCTAGTATTACTACAACAGGGGTGGCTTTAAGAGTCCAAATATTCATAAATCTACTACGTTAGGATGACGGGGGAGGGAAAAGGAGGGACAAAAACTGGCAAAGTGGCCATGAGATGGATGCTGCTAATAACACGCCCCGAACTGTCACAGCTGAGGATCGAAACGTTCTGAGATTGCATCCCCCTGACTTGACATTTAAGCCTGCAGGGAAACTAGACCTGAAAAATATAAGTTTCGAATTCTCCGAGGTCTTCCAATGCATCCTGTGCACGAAATGAGATGGATCTGTTGTTCTCCCAAAGTGATATAAGGGTCACAGAGAGGACAAGACCGGGGTGTTTTAAGGGCAGAAACACACAGCCCTTGGCTGCCTCCCGCTCCTGGTCTCCAGAAGGTGAACATAGTAGACGAAACGTGGAGGGTGGAAAGTAGGGGCAGTCACAGAAGTGGGATCACATTGTCCCAAGCATTCCATTTGCTCCCCCTTAAATGAAAGCTGCAGCATCCTCCACTGGAGCACCTCCACCTGCACAGCCTGCTCACTGGCTGCCGCACCTCCGCGGCCGTCACCTCCACCTGTGAAGTCCCATCCGGCCCTCAAAGACCAGCGCCTGAAGCCTTGGTGGGGTCCTCTCAGACACAGTGCCAGGGTACGCCTGAGTCACCCCTGCTTCTCCTGCAACCACAGGCGTCCTTGCCCTTCTTCTAACACACCGAGCCGCACCGTTCCCTCTGCCTGGGATGCTCTCCCAGTCCCCATCACTCAGGTCTCGGTTTCAATAAGCATCTCCTCAGAGAGGCCCCACCCTGTCCCCATCACCTCCTCCCATCGCCTTCAGCCCTTATCCCCACACCTGCTTTTGTCCCTCTGACCTGCACACAATTCATCTTCAGTTGTGGCTTGCTTGCTTCTCTTCTACATCTGATACCAAGCCATAGCCCCTATGGGTAGCCAGGGTATCTGTCTTCTCCACCACTGCCAACCTTGCCCTAGTGCCTGGCACGTCTAGGGTGTTCCACATTTATTTTCTCAGTGAATGAATGAATACACCCTTTCTGTGGTCCTTATCCCATTTATCTTGTGTCATGATGGTCTGAGTCACCCCTCCAGTACCAGGGTACATTTCTTAATGGTGAGATATGTACATACTATGACCAAAGGTACCAGGTGCTGAGTGCCTTACATGTGCTGGGCACTGGGCTAAATGCTCTGTAAGAATAATCTCATTTCACCCTTACAATAGTCTGGGAGTTAGTTGTTATTAATAACTCTGCCCCCTTTACAGGTGGGGAATAGAAGCCCCAGAATAGAGTGGGGAGAGGGATAGATAATTAATTGGCACCACAGTTAAATGACAGAACCCCAACTAAGTCAAGCAATACCAGCCCAGCCGGTGCAGCTCAGTGGTTGAGCATCAACCCATGCACCAAGAGGTCACCGGTTCGATTCCCGGTCAGGGCACATGCCCAGGTTGTGGGCCTGATCCCCAGTTGGGGGCATGCAGGAGGCGGTCAATCGATGTTCTCTCTCATTGATGTTTCTATCTCTCTCTCCTTCTCTGTCTAAAATCAATAAAGAAAAAATTAAAAAAAGAAAAAAGGCAATACTGGACTCTGCATCACAGCTCCACCGCACTGAGCTGGGCATGCCCTGCAAGGCCTGTAGAGCTTGGTACACAGTAGGTACTCTACACATGCTTGTTGGACAAACAAATGACCTGAGTTAAATTCACTCTTCAGTGAGGGTCTTTCTGGCACTGCCCCAAAAGGAGTTGTACAGTTTCCCTGACCTTCACCAGGCCAGCCCAGCCAAGGAAAGCTGGAGACCCACACGACAGAAGCACGTGTGACCATTAATGATGTGTCCCTCACACAAAGGGCCAGCTCATCTGTCACCCCTGCAGTTCTGGGCTCAAATGTCACAGCAGGAACAGCACTGCAAAGCCTGTACACTTGACATTTCTACTCCCTGCCTGTTTGATAACATGCAACTGCCTACTCGGTAAATAAATCTGGGGAAAGCACACGCTGTAAATTTGCTCTCTGAATGATTTAACCCGCTTCCCCTTTACAGATTTCTCTTAACATTTTGCATCGTGTTGAGTGCCAAAAAGGCACTAAGTGATACCCAGGATTCAAGGAAGACCTGGTTCATCCTGGGAAGACCCAAGGACATGTATAGCAGTTCAGGCTGTAGCCTGCACAACTCTAGGTGGTGCCATTCATAATAACCACCCAGTGAGTGGCGCCGCCTGAAATTATATGGTGTGTTGGCTCTGCTAGGAAGTTTCTAGTCCAGAAGGTCTCACCCTGTGCACCCAGAAAGAGTCCTCTGCTTGCCCAAAGGGTCAGCTGCCTGGTCAAAGTGCACCTGTCATCCAGCTCTGTGGCCATGCATCTGTAACACTCCATCTGGGCATCTGGGGGCAAACATACCCGACTGTGATTTTCAATGTCCATCAGGGTCTCCACTGGTTCAAAAGAAAATCCAAATTCCTTAATCTGGCATTCAAGACCCTACACAATCTGAGCTAGCAGGTTCATTTTCTATGAACCCCGCAACTACTCTGAGACATGTCCATCTGTCATGTGTGTCTGCCCTGAATCTAGTTACGGCACCCAAATTGTCCATTACAAAGGGCAGCGAACCACAGGGCCAAAGCCACGGTCTGATTTTGTAAATGAAGTGTTACTGGGACACAGCCACGCCCTTCAATAATGTGTTGACTATGGCTGCTCTGCACCGCGATGACAGAATTGACCGGTTGGAACAGAAACTAAGCTCATGAGGCTGAACTATTTACTATCTGGCCCTTTAAAGGAAAAGTGTGCCAACCCCTGTTCTACTAGCTTATTTCATGTGTTTCAGGTGGGAATGACCCTTTCCCCGGTTCCGGAATGATCAGGCAACCCAGGCATGATCCTGGTACCACTTCCTCCAAGCAAAAATGACTGGTGACTAGTTTTGCCTGTTAACAATGAGGCAAAGATAAAAGCAAGCTTAAGAATGAGGCCAGCACAAAAGAAACAAAGAAAAAGAGAGCACAGACATGCATACCTATGATGTCTCTGGATCCAGCTATGCCTGAAGCCATTATCCCTGGAGTTTTCCATTAAAACTCTATGCAGGACTGCCATGTGAGTGTGAATGCACAACTCTAGGGGGTAACTGGACATATGTACTCATCTTATCTTTAATACTAGATTATTTTTTAATCCTCACCTGAGGACATGCTTTTTATTGATTTTAGAGAAAGAGGAAAGAAGAGAGAAACATCAATCGGTTATCTCCCATATGCACCTTGATCAGGAATCGAATCCACAACCTAGGTATGTGCCCTGACTCCGCAAACTTTTTGGTGTACAGGATGATGCTCCAACCAACAGAGTCACCCCGCTGAGGGTCCTATACTAGATTTTTAAAAAAACTTATCTTTATTGCTGAAAGTATTACAGATGTCCCTCCTTCTTCCCCCCATTCACACCCTCCTTCCTGCTCCTGCTCCCACCCTGCCTTCACCACACTGTTGTCTGTGTTCACTGGTTATGTGTGTGTATATATATATATGCATGTAAGTTCTTTGGTTTATCTCTTCCACCCTTCCCTCTGAGGTTAGTCAGTCTGTTCCCTACTTCCATATCTCTGGATCTATTTTGTTCACCAGTTTATTTTGTTCATTAGATTCCACAAATAAGTGAGATCATGTGCTATTTGTCTTTCTCTGCCTGGCTTATTTGGCTTAGCATAATACTCTCCAGGTCCCTCCATGCTGTCTCAGAGGGTAAGAGATCTTTCTTTTTTACAGCTGCATAATATTCCATTGTGTAAGTATAACACAGCTCTTTTATCCACTCTTCTACTGATGGACACTTGGGCTATTTTCAAATCTTAGCTGTTGTAAATAGTGATGCTATGAACACAGGGGTTCCTGCACTATATTTAAAATCCCGAGCACAGTAACAAGACTCTACCAAGCCCCTAAGTCCCACAATGCCTGCAGGGCATACTTAAGAAGTAACTACCAAAGAAACTGAGATTAATTTTCAGTTGGATGATTGGTACTTTCAGGATTCAATTTCTGCCTATAGGCTAGTCAGTTGGTCAACAACTAGTTTTTGGAGTAAAACAGATAAAAACCCTACCCTCACAGAGCTGGCATTCTTTAAAGAAAAGACACCAGACAGGCTAAGCCAACTTCTGTCATATAGGGCACTGGAAAATGGGGCTGAGCTCTTGATTAATGAGTGGATTTCACCCAACATTTCAACTCTACACACACCTGCAGGATTCAGGCTACAGCCTATGCATAATGGAAGAGTGCTTTAGCATCACCTTTACATCAGTTTAAAGAATCCCTATCAATACCTAATAAAGAGAGAAATAAATACTACTGTGATAGGCATGGTATGTGCATAGCTCATTATTCTTAATAAGAGCCCCATAAAGTAAGTCTTATGGCTATTCCCACTTTACGGATGAGGAAACTGACACAAAAACAGGGTTAACAGACTCTCATCTAAGACTGAAAACCAGGGGGTAAGCATTTTTACATCCTTTTCCACATACTAATTCATGCACAACAACCCTAAGTGATAAATACTATTACTTTTATCATTCCCATTTTACAGATGGGAAAACCAAGGCATAGAGAGATCAAGCAACTTGCTCAAGGTCATGGAACAAGAAAAAAGTAAAAGAAACAGGATATCAATTCACAGAGCCTGACACAGAACCATTTTGTTATGAAAATATTTGATACCTGCCTCTAAGAAGAGAAAACAAGAGGAAAGACTGAGGCATGACACCCCGATATGGAGGGAAAGATGGGGCACCAGAGGTTTCTGGAATCTTAGCCCAAGGATTTAGCTGAGACAGCACTGGGTCCCCACTGAAGCTCCGGCTGTCTCCTCTCTGGGCCTCCCCCTGTGGATCATGAGAAGTTGCACTTAATGATCCCAGGCCCTCTAGACTCAACCCAGACTCTGTGGCCATGTTCTTCTCCCAGCCACAGGGAGGTGGACCAGACACGTGGCTAAAAAGCTTCAAAACTGCGTTCCCAAAATATCTGAGCGACTGGCAGATGGAGATGTTGTATGCAGGCGCGGGAGGAGAACGGATTGGAAATAAAATGAAAGATGCCAGAGAGAACATAAACAGCGTTGGAGGACAGGATAGAGCCTGGAGGTGCTTTTCGGCTTCCCTATTTCTGAAGCTCTTGGTCAGATCAGCTAAGATGCACTTGTTTGTTCATTCCATCTACCCAGCCAGGCAGCAAACATTTACTAATCATCTACTATGTGCAAAGCACCGGGTCAGGTGCTAGGCCATGTGTCGTACTGCCTTGGAGGGACACCTTTAGAATCTGGACATCCCTTGAAACCACAGATGCTCGCAGACCTTTTTCCGCTTGGAATAACACTCAACATGATTAAAAGGACCCACATGTTTAGCATTACACAGTTCACATCTCAGAAGATGTGAAACTAGCTGAACAAAGTCCCACCACCAGCTGGTCTCACCAGCTTGCCAAACAAAATGAGAGGCACCAAGCATGTCCCCATCAGCAGCAAAGAGGTCAATGGGCGCTCAGCTTTTCCTGCTTTCAAACCCCAAATCCTCCTTCCCACAGCCCCAACCCCCTCTCAGAAACCCAGAAAAAAAAAGGGTCTTGTGATTGTTTTCAAGGAAGTTCAGAGCAGTGTTACTTACAGCCAGGGAGGAGTCTGGGCAGGAAAAGGTCCCAGAATTTCAACTTCATCCTCACTCGACTGGCAACAGCTGGACTCATAGCACTTCTGACAGCAGTGCCGGCAAGTCCATCTGCACAGCAGCAGATCGGAGACTCTAGAAAGAAAACCCTGAGGCCATTGGGGGAGACGGGTGGGGGACGGGGGAAGAGGGGCCAGGGCAGGGTGGAGAGGAGGAAGAGGAGAAACACCTGAATTACAAGCAGCCCATCCCTGACGAGAAATAACGACATTCAGGAGGTCTGTCTCCACTGTCAACACTTGGAACAAAATGTTTTCCATTGCTATTTACCCACTGCAGGCACGAAGATGGCAAACACCAACTCGCCGGAGCCATTAATAGCGAGCAAAACATTTGCAGGTAGTTCCTTATGCAGTTTATGGGAACGGCTTTCTTGACATGTGGGCGGTATACCCAGCATGGTGAGGGCTATACAGTATGTTCCTGAGACACAATGAATATCAGTCTGTCTTCTTGAGCACAAAGCAAAAATCGTGGTTTTGTTTTTTATTTCTTTTCAGTGACATGAAAGTAAGCAGAGATAATCAAAGGGAATGAGTAGGGGGTGGGGAGGGAAACCTATCTTGTCATCTGTGTCTTTTCCCCGGGATCTCCCTGCCATAGAAAGGCATCGAAACTGTGCCCTGATCAACATCTGGTTACTGTTTAATAGTCGATATTTCCCACAGCCTCACATAAGACTCCAAAACGAAAAGCAAGCATTTCTTGATTAGAAGCCAGACCAAACGAATCATTGAATTAACCCACCTCGTTTAAAGGTTCCAACTGCCCTTTTAGAGATCCAAGATGAAGCCATGGGGTGGAGGGGTTGGGAGTGACAAAAAGAGAGAGACAAGACCAGTTTAGCAATATTCCAGCAACTCAAAAAAGGAAACAATAAAGCCCTGAATCTTTCCACTTACCATCCTGGGAAGGGAGCTGACTTCCTAACAAGGTGTCGCTATCTCCAGGGTTGCTGGTAGCCTCCTGGCTAACCAACACCGAATAAATGGGAAACTTTAGCATTTCGGTTTGATTTGCACCGTATGCTGTTATGAATCAGAGCGGGTGGATAGATAGTCATGCTATCCAATGCAGCCACACTTCAGAAGAGCAAACCTTCCTATACAGAAATAGCCATGAAGGCAACCCAAAGAGACATGATTAGCTGACATGCAGGCAGGCAATGAGTGGATGTGACTTGGCTCCCCCGCCCTCCTGGAGGCCCTACCTTCCAATTCTGCTCCAATGGAGATTGTGGGGAGCTTCGTATGACCACCCACAAAGAGAGGGAGCCAAAAAAGAAGCCACAATCTGGTCCTTGGAGGAGGGATGGGCTGTCTCCCTTCTTTGGCTCCACCCCTTATCCCATCTTCTTCTTACAAGTTCCTAAGACAGGCTCCTTCCCCTCTTCCAGAGAGAGTCTTGATGGCTTTCCAAATGGGCCAAGTAAACCAGGTAGTTTAGGAGGAGTCTCACATCCTAGCCTGGAACATGTCCCAGAGGTGAACTGAGGTGGGACTCGAACTCAGAACTTTGAACCAAGAGGGAAAACGTTATTGTCTTTTTCAATTCTCTTGCAAGAAGGAGAAAGAGTCAACTTGGTACCGTTCTATGTTAACATCTTTCTCATACATGCAAATCTCCCCACCCCTTCCTTTTTAAACAGAGAGCAGACCCTCAGCTCAGAGCCTTGCAGAGAGCCTTCTCCAGCTAGAATCTAAGAATGTGGCATCACCCTGGCTGGTTCGGCTCAGTGGTTAGAGCGTCAGCCCGCAAACCAATGAGTCATGGGTTCGATTCTGGTCAAGGGCACATACCTCGGTTACAGTTCATCCCCAGCCCTGGTCAGGTTGTGCAGGAGGTAACCAATCAATGTGACGCTATCACATCAATGTTTCTCTCTCTCTCTCTCTCTCTCTCTCTCCCCACCCCCCCCCCCCATCTGATGATAAATAGAAAAATATCCTCCGGTGAGGAATTAAAAAATAAAAATGTGGCATTATTCTTATTTCTTTTTTTCCAATTGCCTTCTGTTTATATCAAGTGATCCTGGTTTTCTATTATGGTATTGACATAAAGTTGCCCTTTCATATGGTTTTTTAAAGTAAAAAAAGCACGAGTCCATTTATAGAAAAATATTAAGCAAATAACAGCACAGGTGGTACACTGCTTGTGAAAAAGTCAGAATCCTTGAAGTGATAAGGATATGACTGCAGCTTGGAAAATGAAGTCTCGGGCACTAAACAAGACCTGCTGTGGGGAGAGGGGAGGGCAGAGGATGCAGCATGCAAAGAGCTGAGTAGAAAAGTTCAACTAGTCCTGACCTCACCACTAGCCAATCATGTGACTTGGGCAAGTCAAGGGGCCACTCTGAGCCTCAGGTACCGCTTTTCTTTGGTGGAAAGACTAAGCTAGGTCACTCTGAAAATGCCTGTGTGTTGCCCAGCTGCAAAATATCCACCCCCTTCTGTGGTTTATGAGAACAAGGTGGTTTGTCAAGACCAGCTGGAAACTACCAGGCACCAGGGACTGTCCTGGTGAGCAAAGCAGCAAAAAGCTATGTCCTTGAGGGGCTTACAAGAGCAAGTGCTTAAATGCTTCTGATAAAGTGCAAGGATAAAGCGATGCTTTTTCACAATCCATGCCCATTATCTTCATGTGGGGAAGTGTTTGCTCAGTATGTGGTGATCAGAGAACCATTTATAAAACCATGATGAGCAGAGATAAGGCCACCTCAGGGTCCCTACTAAGGAACAACCATCCAGCCTTCTCAAGACCCAGGTGCAAGAGAAACCAAAGAAAATGAAGAAAGAGCAGAGGAAGATGCCCTGATGCTACCAGGCATGCTTTGTGACCCTTTCCTCACACCGAGTCCACTGGGGTTGTGTGTTTGACCCAATGGAGGCGAACTGATTCAAGTCAGAAAGAAATAGGATGCGCCCTGACCAGTTTGGTTCAGTGTTTAGTGTCGGCTCTCCGACAGGAGAGTCCCAGGTTCAGTTCCCGCTAAGGGCACGTACCTCAGTTGCAGTTTGTCCCCGGCCCCAGTTGGGGTCGTGTGGGTGGTAACCACTCGATATGTCTCTCTCACATCGATGTTTCTCTCTCTCTCTCTCTTTCTCACTCTCTCCCTCCCGCTCTATCTGAAGATAAATGCAAAAATGTCCTCAGAGGAGGATTAAAAAAAAAGAAAAAGAAACAGGATAAAAACAAACCCAGACATGCTACAACAGGGTTGAGAAATCCAGCCTGCAACCTGCTTTTGTACGGCACTCAGGCTAAGAACGTTTTGTACACTTTCTAATGTTTGGGGAAAAGTCAAAAGAAGATTGCTACTTCTTGATTCATGCAAAGTATATGAAATGCACATTTCAGTGTCCACAAATAAAGTTTTATTGGAACACAGCCACACCCATTCATTTACTATTGTTGAGACACAGACCTTGCAGTCCTCAAAGAAAAACTTATTTATTCCTTGGCCCTTTACAGAAAAAGTTTAAGTTTGTTCTAGAAGTTAAGCCAACAGCATCACCAGGCCATCCTCATACTCAATGCTTCCCACCATCCCCCCTTTTAGATCTTACCACGACCCCCTACGCAGCTGTGTTGCCTTGAGCACCCCACTTAATTTCTCCGTGCTGAAGGTGGTCATTAAGAACTGTAGAAGCCTGTTCAGAGGTTCTTCCTTTCTCACTAGATTTGCATTCTGAGAGGCAGGGGCCATGCTGTTTTCACAGCTGTGCCCCCAGTGCCCACATATAGTAGGTAGTCATCCAACTGTTTGTTGAGTGACTATTGAATAGTCCCTCTAACAACATCCAGCACAGGGTGGGTGTAAACGTGACCTTCAATGAACTTGAAAAGATGACCTAGAGATTTCATGAAATTGAATCCAGTGGAGCTAATCTAAGCCAGGAGAGGGATGAGGAGGCTAGCCAGGTGACAGCACAGAGTTCCTGGCCAACTGAAACGTCTGAGGACAAGATGAGGGGATGTGGGAGCCAGAGGGAAACTAGGGGACCAGCAGCCCCCCAACTATGGCCAAGGAGATGAGAAGTGAGCCCAGATGCACCCTGGATGAGCGAGTCTGTAGGCTTCTCTGCTGGGCTCAGAGGAGCCAGACCCAGAAGCAAGCAGCTGAAAGGGTCTGACTGCATGACCTTGGCGCTGACCTGTCACCACTTCCTGCCTTGTATTAAGGAGAAAGGTCTCAGTAAAGCATCCCACTCCTCCACCCTCAAAACACCATCCTTGAAAATTATTTCAGCCCAAAGGATTCTTGGGGGAGTTTCTCCCAAATGATGGGGGTCCACAACTCCCAACCCCAAGGTAATGGCCTGAAGTAATTGGCTGCCCCACCAGCACCAGCACCAGCACCAGCACCAGCACGCCTCTGGTGTGTCCCCCACACCTCAGCACCCAGTGCCCAGGAGAGACGATGTCCTTGTCCCTCCTGACCAGAACAGCTGCCTCAGGCTCGCTCCGCCTGCCAATTAGCCCGAGCTGTCACCAAGGCAACAGCAGCTGGCGGGCCGGGTGGCAGGGGCGCCTGGGGCCGTGCTCGCCGCGGCCCCTCCCCTGGGGTGGGGTGCAAACGGAAGGGGAGGGGGGAGTGGGGAGAAAAGTCTGCCTCAGCCCCCGTTCCCTCCCCAGGAGGCAAAGGCGCGTGTGCACAGTCCGCAGGGGGCCTTAAATCCGGGGTGTGGGGGTCCCCAGCCTCTTCTGGGGCGTACAGGTTGCTGCACTCCGGTATCCTTTTTCCCTAGGCAAGTTTGTGGGAGCGCAGTCGTGTGCCCTCCCTTACGCGTACTCTCGGTCAAAGGGGGCACGGCCCCCCACCCACCCACAGCGTGGACCTGGCCCCCCAGCCTCAGCCCTACCTGGATATACGCCATTTTCGCCCGCGCGACTCACTCCGGCCCGGGCATGGCGCCGCCACGGCCACTTTGCCCTCGCCAACAGGAGAGGGGGGAGAAAGCAAAGGGGGAAAGGAAGAAAAGGCGGCCGGGTGGCCCCAGACGTGACTGGCGTGGCTGATGAGCGGCGCCCGCCCCTCCACCGGCCGCCCCGTCCTTGCCTCTCCCTGCGCTCGGGCGCCCGGAGTCGGGGCAGCCTGCAGGCTGAGAGAGCTGAGGTGCCCAGGGCCCCCGCCTCGGCCTCCCTCGCCGTCCTGCGCTCCCCCCGAGGCGCTCCCGGGGATGGAGTGAGGCCAGGGCGCCTGAGGAGGGAGCCGGGGGCAGCCGGGGACTGCGGCGACCCTGGCGCAGGCGGGGCCGGAGACGCCGGGGCCGGTGCGCGCGGGAGGCGGGGGAAGGGATGGGGATGGGAAGCGGGTGGGAGAGGGCGGTGCGCGGGTCAGCCCATCGGTCGGCACCGGGGCTACCACCTACCGAAAACAGAGCCCACAGGATGGTCGTGAAACCGAGGGGGCACAGTCCAGTCCCCCCCCAACCCCCACGGAGTCTGGAGCTGGAAGGGTCCTCCCCAATCCAGCCCTCTCTCAGACCAGCTTGGAAAAACTTTATTCCCGCCCCACCCGACGCGCCTAGAACTGTTGCAGGGAGGAACGCACAAGCCAAATGAATGGGAGTCTCAGGTTAAGGTGGGGCGTGGGGCGCCCCAAGGGAGATGCGGCCCGGGATGCCGTGGGTTGTCGGAGAGAGTGGAGCTCCCCTTTACCCCAACCTGACCGAGTTGCGCCCTGGGCGCAACAGGTTTAGCGCGGGGCGGCCCGGCAGCGCCACCCAGCGTCGTGCCCAGAGTAGTGAGCGCCTCTGCCCGCTGGAAGCTCCGCGCCACTGAACGTGCGCCCCAGGGCGTGTCCACCCGGCAGCTTCCCCGCGTGGCTGGGGCGCCCTGGGCCTGGAAGCCTTCCCCAAGCCGGTCTTCCCACCCCAAGGCCACAGGGCTGGAACTAGCTCTCCACTGAGGCATTTGAGGTGAAACATTGCCCTCCGCCGGTTCCCTTTTTAAATGCCCAGCCATCTCCAGTTGCCAATCATTAGTTTATCAACCTTTTAACCTCCCAGCGCCTTTGTGTTTTCATGGGTAAAAATGGCATAAAATCTCTGCCCTGCCTATCCTCCAGGGCTGTTTTGTGGGAATAAATGAGGAAGTAATGAAAGCTATGCTACACATGTTTATATATTCTGTGTAAAAATCTAGCG